GGTGGAGCAGAAGCACAGGAGCCTGAGTTCCCAATGACCCTGGAGACCCATGCCAGTCCCAGCTTGCCTTCCTCTGGACTTCTTTCACGTGAGAGCAAACTCAACCTCTATCTTGCTTAAGCCCCTTTTCTGAGTTTCCTCTAATATGAAGATAAACCCAGCCCTAACTCATAGAGTCAAGGAACAGCGGACCTAAAAATCAAAATGACATGGCCAGAGGTAGCGGGAGGTGTGACCTGGGGAGAGGCTGGCTGCCTTCCCGTGGGCTTGGCCCGGGCACTTACTCATCCCCGATGTAGAGCTGGGGCCAGACCTCGTTGACGTGGGTGTACTGGGGGCTGCCCTTCCAGAAGAGACGCTCCAGCTCGAAGGCTCCGGGGGTACAGTAGCCCTCCTCCTCCCCCTCCTCCGCCTTGGGCAGCAGCCCCTTGGCAGAGGAGTAGGCATTCTTGAGGCTTGTCTTTGGTTCTCCGGATGTCATTTTGGAGCCAATGGACTTTCTCCTTTCTGCAGCTGGTCATGAGAGAAGGTCAGGATTGGGGTTAGCAGGGGACAGAGGTAGCGAATGGGCTTTACGGAAAGAGGTGGTAATGAACTGATCTCAAGATTTGGCAGACATTTCCCAGGCCTGCTGTGCTTCTGCTTCCCCTTCCCAGGCCACAAAGGTAAATAAAGAAGGCATGGTGACAGTTAAACAACACGTCCCAACTTTCCAGTGTCTCCCGGGCAAGGGTGCTGGGGCCCTCTGACCCGGGGGGAGGTAGATTTGCAGCAGACCCAGGACAGAAATCCCTGCAGGCAGCCAGCCCCTTGCCTCCTTTCTTTTACACTTCACCCCTTCTTTGGTACTTACTTTTTCCTTTATCTGACCCAAATCTGCTGACTTGGACCATTTTTAACTCAAATAGGAAGACCCAGAGGCCGCTGACATTCCAGGCTGTGGTACTCACTGTCGGCAAGGGGCCGGTGCCCATGGAAAGGGCACAGCTGTCAGTCCCGAGCCCGTCTAGCCTGGGCAGCCAAGCACATTCTCGGGGCTTCAGGAGCCTCGGGGTGGAAGGAAACTTGGCCGTGTGAGTGTTCGTGGACTTGTTAAAGCGGTTGAAGTTCATGTTCGCAGCTCCCACAGTAGGACCCTGGCAGGAGCGTTAACTCCCCAAGGCGTCAGAAGAGATGTTGCTGGCTGGACGCTGCGGGTGCAGACTGCGACGGGCACCTGGAGAGCTTGCGGGGCTCTGAAGTGCAATGCAGGAGGAGAGTTCCCACTGTCCCCAAGGAAATGAAGTCACTGTGGAATTGGGCAGCATTTGTTCCCTGAGCTGAGTGACCGATGCACCTACATTCAGCCTGGGAAGGGATGTTATCCTCGTGCTCTGAGACTGGAGGGCAAGGGCAAGGGCGAGTGACTGGGAGACGTGGAGGGGATGTCATTTATTAACAAATAATTATCTAGCACTTATTTTGTACCAGGCACTGTTCCAAGTGCTTAACAATTATTAAGTCATTTAATCTTCTTAACAGCCCTATCAGGTAGGCGCTCTTATCAGCTCCATTTTACAGATGAGGAAAACCACACTGGGAATATTTGTAACACATGGTCTTAGTCTTCTGAGAAAAAAATAACTGCTGAGAGGGCAAGGTTGGGGGAGAGAATTCAGCTTGAGGAGGGGCAGGCCAGGGGTTTGAAGACTGTTAAAAAGAGTTTGTAGCTTCAAAGACCACAGGTCTGTCAAAAGGACTCAGATCTAGCTGGAATAAAATGGGACAATTTGAACATGAAAAAATAAAAACTGCAGTGGATTGAAACACACTAAACATTTAAATCATAATGATACACAAAACAAGTATTCACTGTTGGAAGATGCTAGGGAACCAGCTCATGATTTTGAAGACAGGTAAGTAAAGGGAAAGAATCTAGCATTATTTATTGTTCTTTTCTGACATAAACTGTACTACGGAGTCTCTTTTAGAAAGTATTCCAGATAATAAAAAAGGAAAGAAGCACCATTTTACAATACCTGATGAGCTAATGGATGTTGGCAGTGACCAGTAACTGCCAGCAACTTAAGAGACGATCAGCCGTTACAGGCCTCTGGATGGAAGAACACGCCATCACCAAGCAAGTGGTCTCGCCAGCGAAAACCTGAGTCTTTGAGCAGGGCCCTGAGAGTCTAGATCTAATGTCCAATTTGTAGGCAATTCAGAGGACAATTAAATTATACCACAGGGCTTTGTCTGAGTACACTGAAAATTCACAGATGAAATAATGTAATGTCTGAGATTTGCTTCAAAAATAATATAGTTGCCTGGCCGGGTGTGGCTCAGTGGTTGAGCGTCACCCCAGGAACCAAGCAGTCACGGTTTGATCCCCAGTCTGGGCACATGCCTGGGTTGCAGGCTCGATCCCTAATAGGGAGTGTGCAGGAGGCAGCTGATGGATGATGTTTCTCTCTCATCCATGTTTCTCTCTCCCTCTCCATTCCTCTCTTTGAAATGAATAAAAACATATTAAAAAATAATATAGTTGGAAAATATAATCATACATTGTGTGTGGGGTGGAGGGTACCAATGGGGGTGTGATGAGGAAGGGTTGGCCATAAATGGTGGTTGGGGTTGGATGATGGTTGCAAAGTAGTTACTGTTTTTCTTTGTGTGTGCTTGAATTTTCCATTAAAAAAAAGTTTTAAAAAGAAAAGGAAAGAGCTGAAACCACTGCTCTGGGAAGTTTGATTCACCCAAGTTTATAGTAGATGAATTTAAACAATTACTAGCTAGCAGTGTGTGTCTTTGGGGATCATGGGAAGCCAGGATCCGTGACTTTCTCCTGCAAAATCCTGAGTTGGGGGATGGAGGCAGGGGACAGCAGAGGTGACCCTTCTTTAGAGTCTGTCAAAGTGTGATCCAAAGACCACCTCCTTCAGAACCATCTGTCACTTGCTAAAACTATAGATTCCTGGGTTGCACCCTGAACTGGAGGTAGGGGCCTAGGAGTCTGTATTTTAACAGGTTCCCAAATGAGTCTGATGCGCAGCAGTTTGATAATAATTGTCCAAGAGTGTGGCTCAAGAGTCAAGGAGCTGTTGCATCGAGAGAAGGGTGATAAGCCCTGGCCGAGTGGCTCCGTTGGTTGGAGCGTCATCCATGCACCAAAAGGTTGCGGGTTCAATTCCCAGTCAGGGCACGTACCTAGGTTGCGCATTTGATCTCCAGTCGGAACTTATACAAAGTGGAAACTGATCAATGTTTCTTACATTGATGTTTCTCTCTCTCTCCCTTCCTCTGTCTCTAAAAATCAATAAAAACATATCCTCTAGAGAGGATTAAAAAAGAGAGAGAGGGGAGGGGAGTAAGGACGCTCAGAATGTTTTCCATCTTCTCATTGAAGTGGAGGCTAGGTCTTTAGACCAGAATAGGGGGGCAGGACAGAAAGGAGTGAGGGGCTGGACCTGACTCTGGGATCCTTGAAGATGGCACTTAGTTTATCCCTGTAGCCTCAGTGTCTGACATGGAGAAGATGCTCAGAACGTATTTGTTGAATGGGAAAACGGCTCAGTGAGTGAATGGGATGAGTGAATGAATGACTGAGGGGTGAATTAATGAAGGATTGTGAGGCCTGTGCTGGGGACTCAGCCACAGCTGACGAGGCAGGACTGAGCCTCTGGGCTCGTTTGTAGGAGTGAAGGTGAGCGAAGTGCAGACTACAGGATGGACAGACCCTATAGTGGGCGGTGGCTCAGGCCTGAACTCCACTCTGGGGCCTGCCTGCTGGCATTTCCTGTCACCAAGGAAGCGACTGCTTCCATTCATGGGATGACCAGAACCAGCACAGATGCATAGTTATAGCATAGTTATAGCTCTTTGCTTCAGGCCCACGGGCGCCTTAATTTTGAGAGGTCTGGAGCTCAGCTCATGCATGTCACTGATTTTTCTTATTCAAAATGAGTAGAATCTGAGCACCATATACCTAAATTTGGAGGTGCAGGCTGTTTTTAACCCTGCTTGCCACTAATGGAGGCTTCAGGAGAGGTGGTTTCAGGGAGATACTGGAGAAAACGGCATCCTGAAACCTCTGCCTCCTTTGATCGCTGAAGCTGACCTCACCCTTGCTGAGGCCGCTCCCCCAACGTACTGTGGAAGGAGCCATCCCGTCCCCATCTCCGTGCTGAAAGCCTCGGCTGGATTTCCAGACAGAAGAGGAAGTGGTGCGGTCTACCCAGAGCAGCTTGGCACGCAAAGGAGCTCTGGGATCTATTATCCTCCAGCGCGCAGAGTTGATGGGGGGAGAGAACAAAGCGCAGAGCCGGCCAGAAACCACAGGCCTGTAACCTTTCCAAATCCTGAAGGCGGCTTGTGTGCATCCCTCTGTGCGTGACTCCCAAATCTCCGAATCTCGGAGAGGTGGGGAGCGTCTGCTTCCCAGATCACAGCCAGAGTGGAAGGGGAAGACAAATCTGCTCTGTTTGGTTTCCATAGAATCGACCCAGAGATTAACTGCCAAGGTCTCAGTGACACACACAATATCAATCACAGGCTAAATGTCATAACGAGAGCTGGGCAGGTTGTCAAGAGAGGCTTCCAGGTTGCCGTTACAGCTTCATGTTTAAAGATTTGGTCCCAGGAACCCAAGTGCCAACTGGAGGACTACTTGGCCCATTAGAGCATCAGCCCGTCTCTTCCTCCAGGGGCACGAAACTCAGCTCCTTCTTGGAGCGGCCGGCCAGGTAACATAGAGGAGGGGAATGGGTTGGGTGTTAAAGACTAAAACAAGCATCTAACGGTTGACCTCAGGCAGGAGACATCAGGGAGCAGTGGGGACTGTGGCACACTGGAGCGCATATGCCCCCTCTGAAGGGGCAGCAGCTTGCCACACCATGTGGGAATGCAAGCCCAGATTGTCTGACATTCTTATGAGAATTCAGAAAGCCAGTTTTGTGAGAAATCTGCTGGCTTTAAAATGCAGGCAGCTATAGCAAATGCTATTCTTGCCCTGTCCCAGTCCTCGGCTCAGATCACTGCAATATAAATGGACAGTGCCCTTATATGCAAAAGGCCCTTCCTCTCAAACCCCTGTATTTCCCTACTTGAGGGTATTTTCAGATATTTGCACTGGTCAGGCCTAACATAGGGAGAGTTACTCTCAGAAATCATTGGAATGAGGGGCAGAAGTTGGTGGATAAAAACCCCAGGTTTTCCCCGAGTGGGACCATTGCAATGTCTGTTCTACACAGTCTCCTGGAGGCTCGCTGTGTGCTCCAGCCCTGCCTGCCCAGAGTGGGTAACCTGCTCACTCACACATCCTCTGCTGGCTCCCGCCCCTCCCAATCTCACTTGTCCATTCCTTACTGTGCCTCTTGGAGCACCTAGCAAATAAACAATCTGCACCCAAGCCTGGTCTCAGGGTCTGCCTTCGAGGGAACCTAAACTAAGATACTGCTAATGTTAAAACATTTAGAGAGACTGTGACAGCAGAGAATACAGAGG